TGCAAATTACATTCGCCATACAAATTTTCCCTTTTTTTTTTTTTTTGGTAATCCAGATCGTAATCGGGATCGTCGTATGTCGGATGCACGGCGATGTAATTGAGGGTGCCCTCTGACTTGCCTTATATGCCGGGATGATGAATCAGATTTAAGGCCTGGTAGGAAGTAGACGCTATGACTGGTTTCGCCATCGACGTGCTGTGGAGGTGGAATTGAGTAGTAGGACTATAGGAGGGGAGAGGAGGGAGGTAGTAGGGCGAAGAAAACGAGGGAACAAAAAGGGAAAACAGGAAAGGAGGAAGCAAAACAACAAAAGGAAAAACACGAAACAAATGTGCAATTTTGCCTTGAGAGACATCGAATGACGTTTTTGTTCCCAGATATGAAAACTATAATAATAATAAAGCTGATCCTGTTGTCGATTGCCACCTTTACGGAAATCAGGAGTAAAAATATATTATAAAAATCTAGATTTACTTCGCGAAAAAATGAAACATTCTTGCAAAGAGAGTGAGAACTGTCTTACATCAAAACAACAATGTACAACTGTGTTCACCCGAATAAAAAACGTGGGGTAATTCTTGCTGTATCTTGTCTCAAAGCTGCCCCAAATATATAGCTACATTGACCGTGCGTTGTATTCGGGTGAACACAGTAGGTCTTGCCGAAGAAAGTTCGAGGAAGTGGATGTGGTCTGGAAGAAGAAAGCCCAAGGAAACGGACAAGGGCTTGAAGAGGAGAGCTCAGGGGAGTGAATAATAAGGGGTCTTGAAGACTAAAGGAAGAGGGAAGTGCATAAGGTCTTGACGAAGAAAGTGCAGGGAAGGCGATAAGGTCTTGAAGAAATGGATAAGGTCTTGAAAAGAAGCTGAGGGAAGTGGATAAGCTCTTGAAGAAGGAGCTCGTCGAAGTGGATAAGGTGTTGAATAAGTGGATAAAGTCCTGAAGAAGAAAAACTCAGGGAAGTGGATAAGGTCTTGAATAAGAGGATAGTCCTGAAAAAGAAGAGCTCAGGGAATTGGATAAGGTCTTGAAGAAGTGGATAAGGTCCTGAAGAAGAAAGCTCAAGGAAGTGGATAAGATCTTGAAGAAGGGATAAGGTCCTGAAGAAGAAATGGATAAGGTCCTGAAGAAGAAGAAATGGATAAGGTCCTGAAGAAGAAGAAATGGATAAGGTCCTGAAGAAGAAGAAATGGCTCGAAGGACAGCGAAGTGGGTAAGGTCCTGAAAAAGAAGAAGAAATGGATAAGGTCTCGAAGGACAGGGAAGTGGATAAGGTTCCGAAGAAGAAGAAATGATAAGGTCTTGAAGGACAAGGAAGTGGATAAGGTCCTAAAGAAGAAGAAATGGATAAGCTTTCGAAGGACAGGTAAGTGGATAAGGTCCTAAAGAAGAAGAAGAAATGGATAAGGTCTCCAAGGACTGAGAAGTGGATAAGGCCCTGAAAAAGAAGAAATGGATGAGGTCTCGAAGGACAGGGAAGTGGATAAGGTCCTGAAGAAGAAGAAGAAATTGATAAGGTCTCGAAGGACAGGGAAGTGGATAAGGTCCTGAAGAAGAAAGCTCAGGGAACTGCAGAAGGTCTTGAAGAAATTGGTCGTTAAGGATAGGAAAGTGGATAAGGTTTTGAAGAAATGGATAAGGTCTTAAAGGACAGGGACGTAGGTAAGGCATAAGGTCTTCAAGAAGGACAACGCAGTGTATATGGTCTTTAAGGAGTGGATAAGGTCTTTAAAGACAGGGAAGTGGATAAGGTCTTGAAGGACAGGGATGTGGATATGGTCTTGAAGGACAGGAGAGTGGATAAGGCCCTGACGACGAAATCTCGGAAAGCTTGCCTCTTGGACCGCTCTTGAAAGTGGATAAGGTCTGAGAATGCTTCTCTTCCTTGAAGACACCATCCTTCTACTTCGCTTCTTAATATGCTTTCTTCTCCTCCTCCCTCCCCCTTCCTCCTCCACTTTCCTGTTCCTGTTTCTTGTCCCCTCCTCTTCCCTATGGGTCTTGTTGCTTCTGGCTATCCCTTTCCCTGCGTTGAAAACACTCGAATCGCACACTGCCTGATTCGAGTGGCGGGTTAGAGTCTTCCTCGGAATAGAATGTACGGTAATTATACCTGTTTTTGGAGCAATTTCAGCCTAGATTCAGCGATAATGACCGTACATTGGGAACACTGGAATCGCGCTAATCCCAGGGGAATGGGGCGGGGAGAGGGACATGAAGGAGAACCAACCCCCCTTCTCTAACTAACTAGTAGTGAATCGTGTGAAGCGAACGTCCATTGATCCCTCTCCGCTTCGTCGATTACCCCCAAAGAGTGTTCTTTATTTTTATTTTTTATTTTTTAACCGAAAGAGTTGTTTGCAGCGTCTGTTAAGCAGAAACTCGTAGGGCAGAAGTCACTACGGCAGACTACGGTAGTAGTAGTATAAGCCATGGATTGAAACCTCGTTTTTTGGGCATCCTACGCCAAGGGACGACGCACGCTTATTTCAAATTTATCTCGAAATTATCTCCGAATTAACGCAAAATTGTCTCAAAATTATCCTGAATTATCTCGAAATAACTGGCTTCTGCCGAAACCAACGTACCCTTATCATGATTGTCGCTCGTATGATACATTCATGATCAGCGTTCGTTGTGGAGGATGGCAATCCTCTATACATTTCCTTGGCGGGAAATCGGGGGCAGTTGTTGACACGTTTCCTTGGCAGGAAGCTGGGGGTTAACGCAGTCCCTTGGCGGGAAATCGGGGCAATTCTTTACACTCCCTTGGCGGGAAATCGGGGCAAGTCTTTACACTCGCTTGGCAGGAAATCGGGGCAATTCTTCACACTCTTTTGGCGGGAAATCCGGCATGCTACGTCCCGATGTAGGGATCTGGATAGTATCTGGAAATCACTGTCTTCGCCCGAACCCAACGCACCCTCATCGAGACTGTATCGAACCGAAAAGATCGCTTGTATACATTCATGATCAGCGTGCACAATTGTGCTCGTGTGAAGACGGTAATCCTCTGTACACGCTTGGACTGGGTGTAGGGATAATGTTACCTTTCTTCCCGTGAATAGAGCGTATCATAGATGTATTTGGGCCAACTTTCTGTCTAGATGCAGCGATAATGACTGTACGTTCTATTCGGGGGAAGACTGGTTGTCTCTACATACATGGTTCACGCGGTGAAGGCAAGTGAGTACCCTTCTTCCTGTGAATAGAGCGTACGGTCATCATAGCTGTATGTGGGCCAATTTTCCGTGTAGATTCGACGATAATGACCATACGTTCTATGCCGGGGAAGATTGGTAGTCTCTACATACATGGCTTACGGTGAAGGCAAGTGAGTACCCTTCTTCCCGTGAATAGAGCGTACGATCATCATAGATGTATGTGGTCCAATGTTCCGTATAGATGCAACGATAATGACCGTACGTTCTATTCGGGGGAAGACGACCCTCTCTACGTACATGGCTCCAGAGCCCGGGCAGGGATCTTTCCGGTCCGATACGGTCGGGATGAAGGTGTTCGTCCACAACCAAGCATCATTCGGTTACGGATTGCTGATGACTGTAGCCTCACACAACACAAAGGGCCTCGCTCCACCACTCACCACATGCATAAAGGACGTAACCTATGGCCGTGTATCTTTCCATGTTCTAGTGGAAGATTCATTTTTATTTTTTTTGCACATTTGGTGAGTGGTGGAGCGAAGGCCAAAGGAAGTTTACACAGGCAAATCGTTAAGGGAAGGTCCTGTGAATTGCTTTTTTTTTTTTTCTCTTTTTTTTTTTTTGGGAGAGGAGGTATGGAGGGGGCAGCAGCGGGGGGGACGGTAGCCCCGATTATGAAGAGAGCACATGGTCCATGATACATAAACAAATAATTTCTTCGGTAATTGCGGATAAAATCAGGACTGCGAACCAAAAAAAAAAAAATCAGGAACATGGATAAAGACTTGAAAAACAAACCGTTGGGGGGGGGGGGCGCCGGGGTTGGGCGGCTGCGCTATTCTAGCGCTAATTTTTTGGCCGCTCCGAACCGGTGCCGGTCCAGGCCGACGTCTGGTGGAGTCGGCCCTAGGCCCTGCCTTGCCGTACCACCCCGCCATCACCGACGGGGAACGGTGGAGCTCCATACTCTCTCATCGAGAGTACCGACTATGTCAGACTGTCTCTTTTCAAGGTAGCCCGGGAGTAGGTCGGTAGATGGAAACTAATTAGTGAGATGTTCAGAGAGGCGGTGATGGCCAATGGTCCAATGAAGGGAATCCTTGAAGATGCACCGTGCGGCCAAGTAGACTGAAGTTTAGGGTGACGACATTGATGCAAAAGAAGTCGAAGTGAAGCAAGCCGTAGCGGAAGCGGATCGGGAGTGGTTCTTGAGAAATCTTCGACACTTCTTGCAAGGGCTACCACATTACCTGGATGTCACCCGCCAATGGGAGATGCTTTTAGCCTGCTTGTTTACCACGCGGTGCAAGATTCGAGGTAAAAAAAAATCGGGAAGTATCGACACCTTCCAGACCTCAAGGACGGACATAGCGAGACAGAGTGGCAATTGGATTAAAGAAGTACGACGGTAGCCCTGACGCTAGCAGATCAGGGATTAGTCGTGGAAGTACACGCTCTCCATTCGAGACGTTGATAATAACAAGACCGGAGCAGCCTCCTTCCTGGAGTTCTCAATTATCTGCACACGAGGGGATAAACGATATATATCAGGATAAGAGCTATAGAGACAGGCCAGGTGCCGGGAAAGCGGTGACGAATTTAGCGAAGAGCTTTCAGAAGATGGGATAAGTGGGAATATCCGGGAGATATGAACTCATCCGACGAAGTGGAAAGTAAACGCAAAAAGGTGACTATATGAGGGAAGGGACTTAAGAGGGGGAATTTTGGGGGGAAGAGGTAAGGAGAGTGGATCGAGAGTGCAGAAAGGAAGGATCTAGGGTAGAGAGTTCGTGTATTCGTCTAGATAGAAAGGATTTAGTTTGCTCTACGCTGCACTACTTGAAAGAGAAGGTGCAGGAAGGGGGGATTATTATATATGCAAGGAGAGGAGGCGGGAGGGGAGGCAGGAGGTAGAGGGTTCCCCCCCCCCCTTGCCCCCCCAACCAACTTTTGGGTGATGGAGGAACACACGAGGCAGGCTATTGGTCAGTGTTACGACGAGGGAATAGTACAACTGGCAGCCGATGTGGGGGAGGTGGTAATTGATGAGCGAGGGAAGTGGTTCAAAGTCAACAAGTCCTACGATGCCATCAAAGAGAGATGGTTGAAGGAAAGGACCGTTATATTGATTTTTCAGGATGAAGCGCGAGATTTGATGAGGAGTGTAAAGGAAGATCTCATCAGATCTTACGAGGATGGATGGATGGCGAGAAGACTCTTCAACCCTGAAATACGGCGAGGAAGAATTACCTTCGAGAGTCGGAATGTGGTCTCTTATGTCGCCAAAGCGGTGGAGGTAGCAACCTGGCTGGTCCAGAAACGCTCCCTGAAGCTGATACTAAGGGGGATCAAGTATCCGGTAATGGTCAAACTGTGGTTGACAAAAGGGGAACTAAAGGACTTGAGGCTGCGGGAGGCAGAAACGAATTTCTGGATCATAGCTTTGAGGGTTCCGTTGGATGCAATGTGTTATCTTCCGTCTGCTGCGGAAGGGCTGTTTGGCGGCGTCAAAGCAATGCATCCTCCAGAAGCAGACTGGACGAAGCCAAAATTAATGAACATCAAGCTGGACATGGAGAAGACACATTGACCATAGAGTCGCCGAAAGGAGAGGTATGGGCGGTTGAGATAGCCACTCCCTACTCAGAGTGGTGCCGAAAATGTCGTTGGTACTTCCATTCTGAAGACAACTGCCCCCGACAGGAAGGAGCGTGTCAACGCAGGGGGTGGGTAAACTCTAGGCTACCTCGTCAACAACCACAACAACAGCAACAACAACAGCAACAACATCAACATCAACAGCAGCAGCAGCAGCAACAGCAACAGCAACAGCAGCACCGACAACAGAACCAGCAGCAGCCACAGGGTCAACAACAGAGGGAAGGAAGCCGGCCACAACAGAACGTCCCGCAAGCAGCAAGGGAGCCAGGCAGACCTGCTCAGCAGCCGCCCCAGACTCATACGGCCCCCCAACCGGAAGTTTTGAGACAAGGGCAGGATGAGATCCAACAGCAAGTTAGAAGCCACTCGCACCCCCATTCGCAGCCCCAATCTGGTCAAGGTTTTCCCTGGCAGGATCCATACTGTGTAACCTGTATGCAGGGAGAGGCTCAGGGTAACACCCTATTTCGGGGCCCCTGGGGCCCAGAGCTGATGGGCATACACCAGGTTCCCCCCCCCCCCTGGCACATCCCATTCCCCCTTCGCAAGCTTAGTTAGTTCCATGGTCCCACCCCACACCGTGGTCCGGCCACCCTGACCCGACCCCCCCCTCAACCACTCGGCCCTTTACAGTCATACTACCTCCCCCCAGCCACATTACCAAGGCACACAGGAGATCTCCCCCCTATTTACCATGACCCAGTGGTCAGATCGATCCCAATTAGATCTTACGGCTTGTTACTGGCTGGGAGAATGGAGGGGAGACAACCCTGATTCATCATAGGCGTCGGTTGGGGGAAGGAATGAGGCCAACTCTGCTGATAGATCAGGGCCAGGGAAGGAGCGGGGGACCAAGCTCGGGCCAAGGAGGGCAGAGTCGGGGGGGGCAGTGGAACCCCCCTAGGCCAGAGGAGGGCGCGGTAGGTGGTTGGGGAACAAAACGGTCAACAAGGACGTCTTCTTCACAGTCAAGAGTGCTCATGGGCAGTAGACTGATTGGTGACAATCCGGCCTTCCAAGGGGAAGGGTTCCTACGGGGGCAGAGGGGTCAGAGTCATCTACGGGTAGTTTCGGGGTTCGCTCAGAAGAAGGGAGGCAAAGTCTGACACGGCCAGCAAGAAGGAATACAGAAGCAGAGAGCAAACCAGACTGCCAGTAGATGTCAGTGATGGCAAGTTGCAGCATCCCGCTCGATACAAAACTGGCAAAGTTCTATTTTCCTCTTATAGATGCCAGGATAGACCATCCTACCGCAGATGCATTAACGCAGGCAGGAGTTAGGTGGTTTAACTTGGACGCAGTGAGGGAATAAAATAGTCATGAGTTGGAGGCTATAGCGCTGTCACAGGGTGTCTCGACTTTGCTGCTGTTGCACCTGAACGAGAAGCTGCCGGAGGAGAGGAATTTGCATTCGAACTTCATGAGGAACGCCCTGAAGGACAACTGGCGCTCTTCTTCCCAATCAGAGAGGTCGAGAGGGAGTTCGAGAGCTAGCCCGATGCAACGCTCCCTTGTGCAGGGGGTAGTGAGATGGGGAGATGAACAGGAGGAACACGTCGAGGCCCGCATCCAAGCACAAGCGGAGGAAAGTAATGCTAATGGTTAAGCTGAAGCTCGCGACTTGAAACGTGCGGAGCTTGGGGGATACAACAAACAGACATAAGAAAAGAAGGCTGAAGTCTTGGTTGTTTAATAAGAAGATTGACTGCGCCTGCATCCAAGAGACTAAGTTGGGGGAAGAGAAGTTGAGAGGGTTAGGAAACTGGTGCGAGGGCCCACAGTTTTGGTCCCCAACACAGGGAACGAGAGGGGGAGTGGCGATTCTGCTGCACCGGAACCTCCATGCAGATATACTAGATGTTGAGACCGACCTGTGGGGACATTGGGCCTGGGTGAAGCTGCAGACTAACCAATTGGAATCGGTGATCATGGCAATATATGCACCAGCAAGTCCTACACCAAGAGCAGAGTTCTTTGCCACCATCAACTCCATTATCCGGGCCACGAATAATTTGGTGCTGCTAGGGGACTGGAATGTTTCCCTTGATGAGGCTCTCAGCGGGAACCCAAGGATAGCAGGCAGGAGGGATGCAACGACCCTATTGGAGTTTGTCCAGAAACACGACCTCACAAATCCATTTCGGTCCCTAAATCCTGAGGACCCGGGACTGACCTGGTACTCCAATATCAGGAAGGAAAGGGGAGAAGTGACGAGGAGAAGGCTGGACTTCTGCTTGGCGGGAAAAGGTCTACTACAAGGGGTAACACAGGTCAGGCACACGACACATCGGATGTCGGACCACAAGCAAGTGGTAGTGGACCTGCTGTTGAACCAGGTGGAAGGCAGAGGCAGAGGATACTTCAAACTGAACTCCCAGAACTTGGAAGATTCAGGTTTGAAGGACTGGGTAGGAGAACACATGGAATCTTGGCATTCAGCAAGCCCTCATTTTTCCTCGACAACAGATTGGTTAGATGGGGGCCTCACTACTATTTCAGGGGTTATGGACGTCTGCTCCTGCATATTAACAAGAGGAAGGGATCAGGAGGAAGAAAGATGCCAAAAGAGGGTTGAGGAGGCGGAGAGGAGGATGGAGATGCACCCGATTTCGAAACTGGTGTGGGCAGCAGAGAGGGAACCAGGTTGGCGGAGTGGGAGAAAGTGCAATTGGAGAAGCACACACGGTGGGAAGAGATGCTGCGTGTGAAAGGGATCATTGTTCACGATCGGACGACCCGGGAGACCTTCCGGAAACTGCTGCCAAGTTACTCCTTCCATCAGGTGGTCCTGCTGGACCACCCCTTCGACCCAGGGGCAATGCAGGCTACATCGCAGGAACAGATGTTGGAGTATGCTAAACTTTACTACTCCGACATCTTGACGGCAAGGAGAGTGCAAGACACTTGTGACACGGATTTGTCGCTAGAGCGGAATATGTGGGAGGATACTACAATGAGGGTGAGAGAGGAGGATAGACTGGTGTTGGACAAACCAGTGATAGTGGAAGAATTGAGGCAGACGCTGAAAGTCATGGCCGCCGGTAAGTGTCCAGGGAGGGATGGCTTAAGGGTAGAGTTCTACAAAGCCTGTTGGGCAGCAGTGGGGCCGGCGTTGGTAGAGGTCTACAATGAAGTGCTACTGGAGGGTAAGCTGGGAGATTTGATGACCTATGGGGTGATCGCGGTCATGTTTAAAAAAGGAGAAGGCAAATATAAGGAATTATCGCCCGCGGAAAACTTGGACCTGGCAGTATTGCTGTTGGACATGGAGAAGGCGTATGACAGCGTGGGTTGGTCCTTTGTTCTCACGACCCTGAGGAAGATGGGATTTGGGCTGGGATTTTGCAAATGGGTAGTGGCTATGTACACAGTGGCGACCTCTTTGGTCCAAGTCAACGGTCATCTGTCAAGGCACTTCGAACTCTCTAGGTCACTGCGTCAAGGGTGCCCGCTGGCCCCGCTGCTGTTTGTCCTTCAGCTAGAGGTCCCCCTCAACTGCATTCGGAGACATCCACGTATAAGGGGGCTCCAAGTTGCCAGAGACCGGGAATGCCGCGCCAAGGACCTGGCTGATGATCTGTTTTTAATCTCGGCCAACACAGCAGAGTCCCTGTGGGCCTTGAGATCTGTATCGCTGGACTACTCGCTACTGTCAGAAGCCCAAGTGAACTGGGGCAAGTCGACGTTTCTGCTACCAGAGGGATATGAACTGCAGGTGGAGTGGGGGATGAAGCGGGTGGACCCAGAGACAGGGGAGCGGTTTCTAGGTGTGATGGTAAGTACCAGACTCATGGGGCTAGTGCAGGGCCACATTCTGCAGCAGAGAGTATTAGCGAAGCTGGGGCTTTGGGGATCAGCATGGCATTTGTCACTGTATGGGGGCGCGCTGGTCATTAATGTAGCGCTTGACTGTGAGGGAATTAGCAGCGTCCGTGATAGCAGAGATCAAAAGACTGGTGACACCGTTCCTGTGGAAACCTAAGGCGCAGACAGGAGAGGGTTTCATGGTCAAAGTGGCCTGGGAGTTGGTTACCTTCCCAAAAGAACAGGGGGGACTAGGCCTGATTGACCCACATCAAAAAAAACAGGCTCAGGTAAGACAGTGGATTCGGAGGGTAGCAATGGCTGACTCAAAGGAGGACTGGGTTCTGCTGGCTGAAAGGTTACTAATGCAAGACTGGCAACTTAGCAGGCCGGAAGATGTATGGACCTGCTTCTTCACCCAGTCCTTCTTACGGAAGAGGGTATCCTCCGAATTCTGTGAGGCGGTAAGGCGGGCATGGCTCAAGCAGCCCCCGGAGGAAAGGACACCTCCGGTCACGAAGGAGGAAGTCCTCCAGCAGTGCTTGTTCGAGAATCCTCTCATAAGAACGGAAGGAGGTCATCCCTTCTCTGCAGGCTCAGAACCGGCTACGTTTGGCAGGAGCTGGATCAGGAGGGGAGTATCACGAATCTCGGATCTCTGGTCTCGGGTACAAAGTGTGTGGATCCCACTCAGGGAACTACATCTGAAGCTCCAGGGCCTCCGTCTGGTAGAGGAGCACCATGCAGCATTGGTGCGGGCAATACCGGTACAATGGAAGAACCTACTGGGCCCAGAGGGTCTGGACCCAGTAGGGACATGGTATGCCCCGAGCCAAGAAGATGGAGGGGAGATTCTGTGGAAATTGCAGCAGCTGACAGAGAGTGGTTTCAGGCAGGTCCAGAAATGGACTTCGGTAGCCCACTCTACAGAACTTTCCCTGTCGGAGAAGAAACGATCAGACAGTGGGTAAATCCGCCCCAGGCCCGGGTGGTCGAGTCGCTTGATAAAAGAGGCAGACTGATCTCCACAATCTGGGTGGGGAAGGTTCCTCTGAGACAGCTGTCAATCGATCCGTGTGCATGGCGCTGGAGAGGAGACGGAGTACCCAGGATTAACCCCCTCGGATTAGATCTGACAAGCTTGACAGTAAAAGAATCCTACAGGCTAGCAGAGAAGAAGCCAAGAAACCCGGCAGGAGTGGTCTGACAACAGACCTGCAGGGGAAGGAGGGGGAATTCCTGAAGTTGTGGAAGAACCTGCTGGAGCTGCCGGATCTGAAACAAGCCAGCATCCTCTGGACGCTCTCCCTCCTGGTCACCCCGTCTGCGGTATGGTTGTGCAACAGGGGAATGGAGATCTCTATCAAGTGTACTCGCTGCACCTGGCCGTTTGAATCCACAAAACACCTGTGGTGGGACTGCCCAGCTTCCAGGAGGGTATGGCGGTGGTGGGAAGAGCATTGGATTAGGATGGGTGGAGGAAAAGTTAAAGTGGATGAGCAGTGGGTGCTCCTGGGGTTTGTGGGAGAGGAGCAGACTGGGAAGAAAGGGTGGCCTTATGTAGCCCAAGTGGCAAGAGCGGTTATCTGCTCGGTGATCTGGGCAGATAGGAACCGATCTAGGTTTGAAAACAGACCCTTCTCCGACATCGAAACCAAGACTGCGATCAAAAGGGGGCTGCGAAGGGCCATCTGGGCGGATTGGAGAAGGAAGGCCAGAGGAGGAAAAGGCTCGAGGAAACAGTTGTGGTGGTTCCTGCATACGTGGGCGAAAGGAAACCAGCTCGCAGGAGTGCACAGCACCAGAGGGCTGGTGGTGTCGAAATGGCTAAACTAGGAACTGTACTAGTGGGGGAATCCACGTAGGAGGACCAGGGCACCTTGGTCAGTAAGGAGGAGGCTAGAGAGGGCTACAAGGAGTACCAGGGGACTCGGTACAGTAGGGGCACAGGTACCCGCTAGGAGAGTGTCTGGAAATAAGGACAAGGTTCCACCGGGTCGTTTAGGCCTGGTCGTCGAGTTAGACGATAGGACAGTAGTTTTGGCTCACGGCACAGTATAGATTAAGTATTTGGGTGAATTAGAGATCAGCAGTATACATGTTTTCTTTGGAGAGGATTGAGAAGTTCGGGCTTGAAAAGGTTGGTATGTAAAGGTTGATGGCATTTGGCTCGGCTAGTGCCTAAACTGGCTGATGCTGCCAGGATAACCCCGGGTAGAATTGTGAAGTCCCCGGCCTCGTTTCAATGATTTGGAATATAACTGTTCTGAGTTAAAAAAAAAAAAGAAAAAAAAAAAAAACCGTGACGACCCACATGGTTCACGGTAAACAAATAATTTCTTCGGTAATCGCGGATAAAATCAGGACTGCCAACAAAGAAAACAGCGCTGCCCAGCAGGGCCTTTAGCGCTCAGCCACTCGTGATAGCGCACAAGCACCAGTAGCGCTTCCACTTTCTCATGAATGAGTAGTCTGTCCGAAATGCAGCCGGCCAGTCCCTAAATTGGCTTCGACTGTGATTGACCTGTCCCAGCCTCTGCTTCACTTGGTTCCACTTCGACTCTGTACTGGATGCCCGCGACCTGTTTGCTTTTGGAATGTCAAGGCCTGGTACCTTCCAGAGTTTTCCTTCGTGTGCTGCTGCTTTTGTACTGAGGGACGTGACTTTTGACTGTGGGACCTGACCTTCGACTGTGGGACGTGACTTTTGCCTGTGGGATGTGACTTTTGAGTGGGTACCAGTTGGACTTGACCTGTGGGATACCCGACTTTACCTTTTTCTGTGTCTGGCCGACTGGGCCTCTTTTGACCTGGGAACTTTTGACCCATGGAATCCGAATTTGGGGTCTGCAGCGTGAAATGCCTGTCATCTCTCTCTCTCTCTCTCTCTCTCTCTCTCTCTCTCTCTCTCTCTCTCTCTCTCTCTCTCTCGTTGTATTCGCAAAATGGATTAAAGAGTAAAGCTCACGCACCTATTAGCAAGATCCCGAAGCGATGGTTCATGCCATGAAGGTCCTGCCCCATTAAGGTTTGACTGTCGGATAGGCAAAATTAAAACCAGGAATAAATATAAGGATGTGGATAAGAATGTGGATAAATGATGATGGTGATGCTGAGGAAGAGGGGCAGGAGGAGGAGGAGGAGGAGAAATAGTAGAATAGACAGTTGAATAACTCACTGTGGTTGCGTCTATTCTTCTGCTGGGACAATACAATGGCAGCTTCTTCTGCGGTGTGATCACATGTGCTGTGTGTTCAAGCTTCCTTTGACCGTCCCCTGCAGAAAGCTTGCTGACTGCCACGCGGCGGATGCAATGATTGCATGCAGGGATGACTCATCCAAAGTGATAGGCCACATGGCGTCCATGCTGTGTGTACGCTTGTTGACCTGCATTACTGCAGGAAACAAATAGTGTGCAATGAACCCAGATCGTGAAGACACTCGTCAACAATGCAAGTCCAAAATATCGAGCCGCTGATGATTATCAATAATCAAAATCGTGTCCAGAAAGAATGAGATGAGACAATCATACACAGACGAAGGAGAGAGGAGGGAGATTAAACAAAGGAGAGGAATAATTTAGAATGCCCACTCCTGCTTCGGGCTCCCTCCTCGATCGCCACCTCAAATAATCAATAGTCTAAACACATATTCGAAGTCCTGCTACAATGTGCCGCGTGGCACGTCTAATCAGTCCCTCATCAGCGCTGGAGCAATGTCGACATGAAGACAACAGGTACGTATCCACGACCTTTCCACAGTCCTGATCTCCTCTTGAAGTGACAACGAAACAGAACAGCAGTGCCGGTCACGTAGTCCAGCAATATAACACGTGGCATCAGCCACGTCAGCAACAATGCGTGGCAGCTGCCACGTCAGCATGCCTTGAAGACAGTAGCCAGCCAGCCACTATGCCCAGCCAGCAGCGCGTCTCCGCAATCTCACAAATGCCAGCACAAAAGCCAGCGTCCACCAGCGCCGCAGCGTCGAGCCAGCATCGCGTCGTCAACGCGTGAAGTCAGCATTGACGCAAGACAGGGAGTCAGCGCTTATGTAGCGTTGACGTCGGGTCTGGACCCCGGATGCTGCATCCCTCAACCGTCCAGATCTCAATGCAAACGAGAGCCCATATTGGTCTGAAACCGAATTCCCTCTGGCCTGGATGCTGTCTGGGTACCTTCGCATAACAAGTGAGTGTATCCAACCACGGGCCTGGGTGCGGTACCTTTGACTCTACAGTTGACTTTGACCTTTGAATTTCCTGTGTGCAGCGTTCGGCCACACAGCCATTCGCGACAGACTCAGGTCTGGGCGTGTCTTGGTCACACAGCCCAGCACAAACCGACTCAGGTCTGCGTTGCCTGGGGCTGAGTGCTGGGCCCTAGGCTACTTCTAAACAGGGTTACTGCATTCCTGCCGGCCCATTTTCGAGTTTCACCTCAGGAATATTTAAGACTTTAACCCTCGCTCATAAGCAGCGACAATATCAGGAGCAGTTTCAAGTTGTTCCCGTTTACTAAACCCGGCTGTCCTCAGATGGTGCCTGAGACTTAAAACGTACCTTGAATTGCTTCTGGGGTCCTCCACGCCCACCTGTAGAAAAATACCCATGCTCTATGATTTTGTCTACCTCGTATCCGCCGTCCATGTTTGGCGGGATCATAAAAGGTCTGTGTGGGAACTCGTGTCCTTCTACAGAGGGTAACAGTTTGGATGCGTGAAGACAGGAAATGTGTTGAGATGAGGGGGAATATCAATGCGATAAGACGGTCCCTATGCATCTCCAATTACTTTGAGAACTTCCCAGGGTCCAAAATAGACAGGGAGCAATTTTTGGAACACATCGTTCTCTAGTGAAAACTCTTTAGATTTTACCCAAACCAAATCACCCTCTTTAAATGTAGACGGCCGAGGATGCTTGCTGGCTTGTTCAATCATCCGTAGTTGAGCTTTCCTTATATTATCTTTAACTCTCTAAATGTCCTTTTGAAACAATATTGCATATTCTCGGGTCCCTGGGGGCAACCTAAGGAACTGGTCCCGTTTTAGTACATCAACGGGGCGTCTAGGTTTCCACCTTTTGTGAAGTGCATTCGGGGTTCGTCCAGTGGAAGTGTGGACACTGTTGTTATATGCACTCGCAATTTTGGGTAAGTTCTCATCCCAATCAATTTGATCGGGTTTAACATACATGCGCAAAAGTTGTTGGCACAGACGGTTCATCTGTCCATTCTGGCCATTCGTTTCGGGATGTCTCCCTGACGATATGGTCAGCCACGTGCCATAAGCTTCCATCAACTTTTGTCATGGCAGACTAGTGAACCTGACATCTCGATCAAACACAATGGTTTTAGGGAACCCATACGCTGTGACCCATCGCATATGAAATTTCTGAATGACAAGTTCAGTACGCGCTTCTGCTGGTAAGGAAACAAACATAGTGTATTTAGAGAAACGATCTACAATTACCATCACTTGACTATTACCGTTGCGACTTTTAACCAAACTCATGAAGTCAATTGAGATAAACTCACCTGGTTCGCTTGGTATAGGTAATGGCTTGAGAAGTCCAAGGGGGTTCTCATGCGACGGGTTGTTTCTCTGACACACTAAACAAGTACGAACATATGTTAGTACATCTTCTTTCAGTCCCTTCCATTTGAAACGTTCTCTGACTTCAACATATGTTTTCTTGAAATCAAAATGACCCTCAGAATTGTGACATTCCCCAATCAACAGACTCTTAATCTGTTCCTTATGAGGAATATACAATCTTTGTTCGGTTTGGTCAATCAAGAACAACAATCCATCAATCAGTCTATAGTTGGGTAGTTGGGACGGATCTCGTACAAGGATATCCATGATTGGTTTCAAGATAGGATCAGTAGCATATCCTTGGCGTATCTGGTCTTTCAGGTCATTCCCAACATCCAAGTAAGAGACAATTGCACCAAAGAAATCACTCCGTCTGGACAATGCATCTGCAACCACATTAGACTTACCTTTGATCGTTTTCAATTCAAAATCGAAGGTATCAATAAACACAGACCATCGTACCAGCTTATCAGAGAGCCTAGGTTGTGTCTTTATCCACTTTAGAGTAGAGTGGTCTGAGTACACAGTAAAGTGCCTCTCTAATAAGTAGTGCTTCCACGTGTTTAGTGCATAGACTAAGGCATACAACTCCCTTTCATCGGTGGAGTTGGCAACCTTTTCCGACGACAGTCGTGCAAACATAAACTCTATGAGCCTGTAGCCCTTGCTGTCATCCCGCTGGAGAACAACGCCAATCCCATACTGACTTGCGTCAGTGGTGACAATGAAAGGCAAGGACGGGTCAGCAATCTTAAGGACGGGATAGCGGGTCAGTGCATACTTCAATTTCTGAGAGGAAGACTCACAATCCTTATCCCATAACCAAATAGTTTCTTTCTTTAACAATCTTCGCATTGGTGCAACAATCAGTGAAAAGTTTTTGACAAACTTTTTATAATAGCTAGCTAGACCAAGGAAAGATTTTAGTTCAGTAATAGACTTAGGTTGTGGCCAATCTCTAATTGCTGATATCTTTTTCTCTTCCGACCTTAGACCTTCTTCGTTTACTATGTGTCCTAGGTATAACACTTCGGACTTAGCAAACAAACTTCTTTGGGTTAATCTTGAAGTTGCCCTCACGCAACTTCCCTAGCACCAGACGAAGGTGCTTCTCATGATCCTCTAGTGTTTTACTGTACACTAGAATATCATCGAGATAGACAATGACGAACTTATCCAACCATTGGCGAAACAAGTCATTCATTGACCTTTGAAAAGTGGCAGGGGCATTCGTTAATCCGAAGGGCATTACCACTAACTCGTAGTGGCCATATCTGGTCCGGAAAGCGGTCTTATGCTGATCGGAGGGTTCCACCTCGATCTGGTGGTACCCAGATTTCAAGTCGATCTTGCTAAAGTACCTGCATCCCTGTAACTGGTCAAGTAAGTCGTCAATTCGTGGAAGAGGTTCGACATTCTTAACAGTGACGACATTCAACCCTCTATAATCAATACAGACAGTGACGACATTCAACCCTCTATAATCAATACAGACAGTGACGACATTCAACCCTCTATAATCAATACAGAGATGCAACTCACCTTCCTTTTTGGGCACAAATAAGACAAGAGCACCATAAGGAGAGGAGATAGGGCGAATCCATCGTTTTTCTTATAAGTCTTGCAGTTGTTTCTGTAATTCCTCAAGTTCCCTAGCAGACATTCTGTAGGTAGGACCCTTGGGAATTTTACTACCAGGAATGATTTCAATGGTGTGCTTAATTGCACGCTCTGTTATTCCTGTTGGTTCAGTTAATAATTTTTTTTATTCATCTAAGAATTTTTCAATTGAAGGTGGATAGGAAGTAGAGGACTCATCTTCTTTCTTCACTAAGACCATCATCATTTCCTGTTCCAACCTTTTCTTTGAAACCATTGATCAAAATGCTGGATAACTCATACAATAGAAAGACAGATTAGAGTCAGAGCCAGACTTATGAAATAATTTAATTGGTTTTAATTCAGAGTGTGCATTACGCAACTGCACAATCTTTTCTTTGAACTTTATATCTGGGTTGGCTTCCTCGTGCCAGTCGATTCCCTGAATCAAGTCAAAGGGTAAATTCTTTTCGACCAAGAAGGATACCTCGCGTAGAATCCTTTTTCCTTCTTTGGTACGGAATCGACACTTCACACGATCAACATATTGTGAGACAGTGATCGTGCTTTTGTCAGCTAAGATCGGCGTGATAGGTCGAGATAAATTATTTATCTTCATTCCGAGATTCAACTTGCGAATTGCCTTCTCGGATATGTAGGATTTTGTTGATCCTGAGTCTAATAGTGCACCTATACGTGTATGTGCAATCTCTATATCCGCGAGTAGTAGGTCACCCTTAGATTCAGATTTTTTAGCCCACGAGCTTCGTAGTGCCAGCAACTCGTTACCAAGCTCGTCAAGAGAGTCGTCCAGAGAGACAATACATAAGACAGGGTAAGGGTGTTGCGGACGATGGGCCGAAGAAGAACCATCCTCTGCCATGCGAGTCGAAGGGTTGGAAGGGTTAGTAGGCGCCTTACCTTCATCGTGGTCTAAACCCTTAGATTCAGTAGGAGCAAATGCTACTCCTATTGGCGGCTCGCTTTTGGGTTACTCATAAGTGGGCACCATGCAATCACATGCCTTGGGGTACCACACTTCAGACACTGTGCATTATCCATTCTTTCTTGCCACGTTTCTTGTGACATCCCCATTTTTTCCCATGGCTTCACGACCGCAATCCCAGAATGCTCTGGGAACGAGTGTGGTTTCTTCTTCTTCATTACCGGTGGTCGTGGTCCTCCCTTGTTGACCACAGCAGCAGTGACTTCCCCCTTCCCGGACTCAC